TTGGTTTCAGAATGTAGTTTTACCTTAATAAATGCATCAATTGCAGTCTTCTTGAATGATTATCTTTAATCACCATCCATCTTTTGCATTGGTAATATATGGCATGGCATGAAGCCTTTTTGTACTTCCAATGATTATATTAAGTTGATTTAAACTTTCAGTAAGATTTTATCATTTTTTTTCTCCTTTAAATTTTCTCCTTAAACCAGAAAAAAACTTTTCCCATTTGCCTTATCTTTTTTTTAAATTTTATTTTATTATGTTAATCACCATACATCATTAGTTTTTGATGTAGTGTTCCATGATTCATTGTTTGCATATAACACCCAATGCTCCATTCAGTATGTGCCCTCTTTAATACCCATCACCAGGCTAACCCATCCCCCCACCCCCCTCCCCTCTAGAACCCTCAGTTTGTTTCTCAGAGTCCATAGTCTCTCATGGTTCATCTCACCCTCTAATTTTCGCCCCCCTTCATTTTCCCCTTCCTGCTATCTTTTATTTAACATATAATAATACATTATTATATGTTAAAAATATATATATATACGCTTAACGACTGAGCCACCCAGGCGCCCATGAAGTAGGCATTATTAATACCACAACATTGGAACACTTTTTGAAATAGATAAAACATTACTGACTTTGATTTGGAATACAAGGTTAGGACTATTGTAAAGGATTTTAAAGTAAAATTAAGGCAAAAATTTGAGAGCAATGCCAAGCAACCAGTTTAAAAAATGACATCCATAAGGTGAATAAAAATACATTATTATATGTTAAAAATACAAATAATACATTTGTTTCAGAGGTACAGATCTGAGATTCAACAGTCTTACACAATTCATAGCACTCACCATAGCACATACCCTCCCCAATGTCTATCACCCAGGCACCCCATCCCTCCCACCCCCCACCACTCCAGCAATCCTCAGTTTGTTTCCTGAGATTAAGAATTCCTCATATAAGTGAGATCATATGATACATGTCTTTCTCTGATTGACTTATTTTGTTCAGCATAATACCCTCCAGTTCCATCCATGTCGTTGCAAATGGCAAGATTCCATTCCTTTTGATGGCTGCATAATATTCCATTGTATATATGTACCACATCTTCTTTATCCATTCATCTGTCGATGGACATCTAGGCTCTTTCCATAGTTTGGCTATTGAGGGCACTGCATTGCTGCTATAAACATTGGGATGCATGTGCCCCTTTGGATCCCTACATTTGTATCTTTGGGGCAAATACCCAGTAGTGCAATTGCTGGGTCATAGAGTAACTCTATTTTCAGCTTTTTGAGGAACCTCCATACTGTTTTCCAGAGTGGCTGCACCAGCTTGCATTCCCACCAACAGTGTAGGAGGCTTCCCCTTTCTCCACATCCCCGCCAACATCTGTCATTTCCTGACTTGTTAATTTTAGCCATTCTGACTGGTGTGAGGTGGTATCTCATTGAGGTTTTGATTTGGATTGCCCTGATGCCGAGCGATGTTGAGCACTTTTTCATGTGTCTGTTGGCTATTTGGATGTCTTCTTTGGAAAAATGTCTGTTCATGTCTTCTGCCCATTTCTTGATTGGATTCTTTGTTCTTTGGGTGTTGAGTTGGATAAGTTCTTCATAGATTTTGGATACTAGCCCTTTATCTGATATGTCATTTGCAAATATCTTCTCCCATTCTGTTGGTTGTCTTTTGGTTTTGTTGAGTGTTTCCTTTGCTGTGCAAAAGCTTTTTATCTTGATGAAGTCCCAATAGTTCATTTTTGTCTTTGCTTCCCTTGCCTTTGGTGATGTTACTAGGGAGAAGTTGGTGCAGCTGAGGTCGAAGAGGTTGCTGCCTGTGTTCTCCTTTAGGATTTTGATGGACTCCTGTCTCACATTTAGTTCTTTCAACCATTTTGAGTCTATTTTTGTGTGTGGTATAAGGAAATGGTCCAGTTTCATTGTTCTGCATGTGACTGTCCAATTTTCCCAACACTATTTATTGAAGAGACTGTCTTTTTTCCATTGGACATTCTTTCCTGCTTTGTCAAAGATTAGTTGACCATAGAGTTGAGGGTCCATTTCTGGGCTCTCTATTCTGTTGCATTGATCTATGTGTCTGTTTTTGTGCCAGTACCATATTGTCTTGATACAATACAGTAATAAAAGAAAGAACAAGAACCATATGATCCTCTCAATAGATGCAGAAAAAGCATTTGACAAAGTACAGCATCCATTTTGATCAAAACTCTTCAGAGTATAGGGATAGAGGGTACGTACCTCAATGTCATAAAAGCCATCTATGAAAAACCCACAGCGAATATCATTCTCAATGGGGGAAAAACAGAGCTTTCCCCCTAAGGTCAGGAATGTGGCAGGGATGTCCACTATCACCATTGCTATTCAACATAGTACTAGAAGTCCTAGCCACAGCAATCAGACAACAAAAAGAAATCAAAGGCATCCGAATCGGCAAAGAAGAAGTCAAACTCTCACTCTTTGCACATGATATGATACTTTATGTGGAAAACCCAAAAGACTCCACCCCAAAACTGCTAGAACTCATACAGGAATTCAGTAAAGTGGCAGGATATAAAATCAATGCACAGAAATCAGTGGAATTCTCATATACCAACAACAAGACAGAAGAAAGAGAAATTAAGGAGTAGATCCCATTTACAATTGCACCCAAAACCGTAAGATAATTAGGAATAAATCTAACCAAACAGGCAAAGAATCTGTACTCAGAAAACTATAAAATACTCATGAAAGAAATTGAGGAAGACACAAAGAAATGGAAAAACGCTCCATGCTCATGGATTGGAAGAACAAATATTGTGAAAATGTCAATGCTACCTAGAGCAGTCTACACATTTAATGCAATCCCTATCAAAATACCATCCACTTTTTTCAAAGAAATGGGACAAATAATCCTAAAATTTGTATGGAACCAGAAAAGACCCCGCATAGCCAGAGGAATGTTGAAAAAGAAAAGCAAAGCTGGTGGCATCACAATTCCAGATTCAAGCTCTATTACAAAGCTGCAATCATCAAGTAAGCTTTGTTTTTAAAGAGTAAGGAGTTAAAAAATAAATTTTATGATATTTATCTTGGAATAGAAGCTCATTTTATTTTCTTGTGACATAATTTTGATTTTATATCACTTAGAGGTAGAATTAAACTGATGTTGAGATGGAAGGTTGAAAAAATACTTTGATTATTTCCATGCTTAAGACAAATGAATTTAACTGATTACTGCTTAATGAATTGCTAAGCTATTGACCATCAAAATGGCTGATGGAATTGATTATACAGAAAATAGCCACTCTTTTCCAAATGATTGAGTGATGAGAAAGCTCTCATTTGCCAGTCAGCCTTTATGGAATGGTCCCTGGAAAGAAATCTTAACTGGCTGTGTGCACAGCTATTAGAACAATGAGAAATAATTGCTACATAACTTCTGGCTTAGACGCAAGTCACTTCCCACATGAGCAAAGCTTAATAACACAGAATTTAAGCAATGATATTTCAGTGTCAGAATGCTCTTTAAATTAAGAATTCCTAAGTTAGACTGCTATGATTTGCTGGTGTTTGCTGTTCTGAAGAACATTATGTAGCCTTTATGTAAGTTTCTTTTTAATGTAAAGTAGGAATGTGTATGAGATAATAGTATGTGTATTAAACATTGCTATATCTTCTTTAGTAGATGAGATGGAAATAGATAAATGTATTGTGCTTTCCCGTTTTTTATTTTTATTTCTTTAAATTTTCACTTGACTAATTGATTTAAGCACATGAGGAAGAAAAGGAGAAGATACCTAACTTGCAGTCAGATACACTTTCTAAAATACTATTAAAAATTTCCCCTGAAATGTCTTTCTTCCCCATTCTATTATTAGAGTTTTCTGTGTGTATTGCCTAAAGAAAGAAAAGAATGCAGAGAAAAATTAATCTATTCACTGGCCAAGGCAAGAATATGGAAATCTTCATGATGATTTAGAGAAAGAATTTCTTTTTTTTTTTTTTTAAAGATTTTGTTTATTTATTTGACAGAGAGAGAGACAGCGAGAGCAGGAACACAAGCAGGGGGATTGGGAGAGGGAGAAGCAGGCTTCCCGCCGAGCAGGGAGCCCGATGTGGGACTCGATCCCAGGACCCTGGGATCATGACCTGAGCCGAAGGCAGACGCTTAACGACTGAGCCACCCAGGCGCCCGAGAAAGAATTTCTATTCAAAGTCTAGATGGGGGCACCTGGGTGGTTCAGTCGGTTAGCCTCTGACTCTTGATTTCGGCCCAGGTCATGATCTCAGGGTTGGAGATCGAGCCCCATGTCAGGCTCTGCGCTAAGCATGGAATCTGCTTAAGATTCAGTCTCTCTCTCTACCCCTCCCTCTACCCCCACCTTGTGTGTGTGTGTGTGTGTGCGTGTGCTTGCACACTCTCTCTCAAAATAAATAAATAAAATATTTTAAAAAATACTGTTGCTATTTAGGAGGGAGGAAAGGAGGAGACAGACTTGAGGAGCCTTACAGAAAAAATGGAGAGTTGATGCATTTACAGGGACCAGGGACTGAGGACTAGATGTGATGGAAGATGTCTGTGCAGAGGCCACAATGGTTGACCAAGAGATGACTAGTAATGGAATGTTTCCAAACCAGCACCTCGAACTTAGGTGTAACCCCAAAGAAAATGGGCAGTAAAAGGACTGAATTTGAAAAATTAAGAAAAAAATTTTGAAAAATTAAGAAGTCGTTCTTGCATATTTGAGTTTGTGAACTGATATTCAGAGCTGCTTTCAATTCAAAATGCCACTATAGACTGAATGTTTGTGTCCTCCCAGGAGGTTGTGTCCTCCCAGGAGGTTGAAACTTAATCCTCCATGTGATGGGACTTGGAAGTGGAGCTTTTGGCAGGTTGATTAGGTCATGAGCATAGAGCCCTCATGCAGGGTAGCCTGCCTTTCTAATTGAGACACTAAAGACCTCCCTTTTCTCTCTCACCGTGTGAGGACATAGGAGAAAGCTGTTTGTGAACTAGGAAGCCAGCTCTCACCAGATACTGAATCTAATGGCACCCTGATCTTGGACTTCCCAGTCTCCAGAACTGTGAGTAAGAACTTTCTATTGTTTATAAGCTACCCAGTCTGTGCAATTTTGTTTTAGCAGCCCACCCAGACTAAGATAGCTGCCATCTGCATGGAGAAGGCAGGAAATTTAGTCTTTAGTTGTAATCACACAGGTCCCAGCCACAGGGCTGGGAAAATGTTCTCCAAACTAAGCTCACCTTTTCCGGCTTGATACCACTTCCAAGAAAATGGGCTATGAGTTATAGTGCCAAGCTCTGATATCCTGCAATATTCATGTGTATGGTTTTAGACAAAAAAAAATTCTAGTACTACAATTCTAGGAAAAGAATACATTTAGAAGGATTATTCCCAAACATCAAAATAAATTCCAAAAAATCTTTGTTTATCGTAAGATCCACTAGGACCGTAACTGAAACTATAAAGTCAGACACACTTGAGTTGGTCTGTCATAGTCAACATTTATCACCTGTGGGAACTTAGGCAAGATACTTAACTTCTCTGAGCCTCAGTTTTATTATTTTTAAAATGAAGATTATTATTTGTAGGTAAGAACAAATAGGAAAATGGTACACGGTATTTAATCAAAGGCAGTTATTTTTATAATGATGATGGTGATGATTGTTATTGACCAAACTGTCCCATATTAGTCACTCTCATCCTCTGCCTCCTGATAAGCCCTCTCCTATTTTGTGTCCATATATACATGATCCCTGGGTCTGTGTTCATGACCATCATCTATGGTCATCTTTTCTCTTCTGCCCCACCCCCACTAGGGATGCACTTGGCCAAAAGTTATGTAAAAGAGCCTGAAAAAAAGAGGAGAAATTTAAGAGTGATTGCAGTATAGTGTGTAATTAGGAGCATAGACTCTGGAGTCAGACTAGTGTGGTTTCTTATCTTGCCTCTGCCATTTGCCTTCCTCTCTGGATAAGTGGCTCAGTCTCTCTGAGCCTGGGCTCCCTCATTTGTACAATGGTGAGGTAATGAGTGATAATTTACCTTATAGAGGAGTTATGACTATTAAATCACTTAATGCATGTATAGCTTCTGGAATATGAAATCTATGAAATATTAAGTACTCAACAGATACCATTGCTATTTTTACAAACACTTCAAAGTTGAATAATAATCTTTCTGTTCCCATAGCTAGAATTTATTTCTGCTTATGTTTTTACCAGTTAATATTCACTATGAGTTTCTCAAAGATGAGAATGTTTTATTCATATAACAAAAATCACCACGCTTTTCCACTCTTCTTCACCATATAATACTTTCCCAGGGCTGTTTTGCTGTATTTATTATGTGCTCTCTATGTGTCAGTAACTTGTGGATATTGTGTCATTTTATTCTCAAAGAGCCTTGTAATATAGGTAATATTTTCCACAACTCAAGAAATGGTGGCTCAGAAATGTTACATAACTTGCTTAAGATCACATAGCTAACATGGATCATATCTGGATTTGCACTCAGAAAAGTCAGAGCCTGTTCATAACCACTCTGCTTATGTGGCTTCTGCTTGCTCCTGAGCATGACGAATGACTGTTCAATTGACAGTGAGCTAAAAGAGCAGCTTTATAATCCAAATCAGACTTCCTCATCTGACCTTCCTAGGTCACTCTAATTTCTGGCCAATCGTTTTTCAATGGGCAGTAAGAAATTTATTCTCTTTTTACTCACATTCTGTATTATATAACTATAATTATATGTATTTGTATGTATATATATGGCCACATATAAACTATATATGTATATATATAAATATATGTATGTATTTTTAACAAAAGCATTTGTATCTACTCACTTCTGTATTCTCTTCTGTGTCATGGGGGTTTTATCACACAGACTACCTCATCTTCCTTTGGGGTATGGAGAGGGCCCAGGTGACAGAGTACCTCATTGGTGCTAACCAGAAAATTCCTGACTGATTGGTTAAGACTGTGTTTCTGGAGGAGGTTAAAACTGCAGTTAGGTTAGGTATTAAGTCCTGGTTTAGTGACTTGGCCTAGTATAAGTGACTCCATCTTGGGCCTGCAGTTTTCTTTTTACTATTTTCCTGACTACACCTTGACTGACACTTTACATAAACAATTTCTCCTTAGTCTCTCTAATGTAAATAGATATATCTGTCCAACTAATTTTCCTAAACCAATTCTTTCATCAGACCAATAGTTTAAGATAAAGTCTGACAAAATCTGACCCAATTTTCACTTCTGAATTTATAACCTTCCAGGCCTCAGTGAGGTCCCTGTCCTCAGTTGCTAAGTGGGTTTATCTACAGTCAGCAAATGGGTGTTGTACCTGTTCAACTCATCTCACTCAAATTTGTCTCCTCCCGATGGGTACTCTTTCTTCCCCCAACTATCCATGGCTACCTTTGGCTCAAGATTCAGCTAAAACTCCCTTTTTCTTATCAAGCTTTCCTTGGTCTGCCCTGACTCGGAGTGATCTTATTTACCTTTGAACTTTTACCATCTCTATCACTCTTTTTTTAGATTTTCTGTTGATTGTTTATTGTTATTTTTCATGTGCATGATTTAAAATTAAATTTAATTGAAAGTGTCCTGATGGGGAAAGATATAATCATGCATCTTGTATTCTCCACGCCCTGGTACAAAGTCTTGTTTCTTAAGCTTCATGTCCTCAAGGTATGCAAGAATCCTTCTACAGCATTTCAGTGATGGAAACCCAATCATATGGTTGAACTGATGGAGCTGTTAGGAAGTTTTTTCTTATGGTGTACATAAATACCACTACCTACAACTTTAAGATCTTCTTCCTCTAGCTACCCTGAATGGGCCTAAAAGTCTCCTTTGTGTTATGCTTTCTAAAATTTTAATATTTTTAAGGCTCTGCATGATCTCTGTTAAACTTTTTCATTATGTTCTCCAAAAGAAAACTTTATATAGTGACCAATTATACATGTAAACACTAACACATAAACGTGAAATAGAAGCTGCAGAAAAAATTTACCTTTACTATGTGTATTATTTTGTCTTTATTCAAAGTATTCAATTTGTTATAAAAATGTAGGTATTGCCTTGATAAATTGAATTCACAAGCAACTAATGTTGCAAAATACTGATCTAGGACCACATTTCTATTCTAATCTTATCCTACACAATAGTTAGTTCTCCATGCTCTTACTGTTTCAGAAAAATTGGACTTTTCTCTGTTTTATGAATGGGCTGATATACTTCCTGTATCAGAGACTTTATACATAGTCTCTTAGATATTGTCATATCTTAACTACTTTTACTTAGATAACTCTAGATCTGGTTTTCCTTCTTCATTTTATAGACAAGAAAATTGAGCACAGAGATTAATTGAATAATTCCATGTATACACTAAACAAATATGTATTAGAATTTGATTATATCTGTAATGTGAAGCTAGGTCCTCAGGTAATATGAAAATAGCATCCCTCCCACCCCAACTCCTCCCAGTTATCCTCTTGGCTTCTTTGAAATAAGACCTATCCATCCTGACTTTTCCTTTAAACATGGATATTTCTTGGGTTGCCTGGATGGTGCAGTTGGTTAAGTGTCTGACTCTTGGTTTTGGCTTGTGATTTCAGGGTCATGAGATCGAGCCCTGTGCCATGCTCAGTGCAGAGTCTGTTTGAGATTCTCTCTCCTTCTCCCTCTACACGTCCCTGTGTTCTCTCTCTCTCTAAAATAAATAAATAAATCTTTTTAAAAAACCAAAAACATGGACACTTCTTCCCTGAACTCCAATGCTCACTATTCCCTGTACACTGCTCTACTTTTAATTTTGTCCACAGCATTTAATTGTGTTCTGATATTCTAAATTTATTCACGTATTGTGTTCACTTTTTATTTCTGTATTCTCCTGCAAGAATGTGATCTCCATGAGAGCAGGACTATGTGCTTTCACTGAGATATCTCAGACTCTTAGAACAGAGCTTGGAACAGAGTAGGCACCCAGTTAGTGATTATTGAATGAATGAATGCAAATAGCCACTTTGTCAAAAATCATAGCTAGTTAGTAGAAGCTTAGGATTAAAGCCAGATCTGCTGACTCTTATTTCAAATTTCTTTCCTTTGAAGCCCCTGACACATTATTTCTCAAGCAAAACTACATTCCTGTGCTTTTTCTGTAAAAGTTTTATTCAAATGACATTTTGGGTATTGAATAAATATAGATTTCTCCCTTAATCCATATGATACTCAAGATGAAACAAGATATAAGAAAATAATAAGCTCTTAGAGGTGATTTAAATACCTTTATTACTGCAATGAAGCACAATTGATCTCTCCTTATAGGTAAATACCCTAATTTTCTATGTTATTTTACCTCAAGGGTTTGCTCAGTTTTCCTTAGAACTCTGATTCATTTACTCTACTATAACCTGTTCCTTGCTATAGGCACAAGGAGAGGCTAATTGTTGCACTGCATCTTCCTTAAATTTTAATGTGACCATCTGCTGCTGAACTGTGCATTCATTTCTATAGGTACTCTACTTCTCCTACAAAGTTCAAAGTTAGTGGTTCTGAGGTTAATTGGCAAATCACTGACAGAATCCTCTTACACAAAATATCTACTCTTTTGCTAACATGAAGTATCTTCCTAAGATACTTTCATTTACTTCTCCAGAATATTATTAATCTTACAAACATGATATATAAATATGTAGTATTAAATCCCTATGCAATATAATCCCCAAACCAAAATGTCACTTCATAAAGCTCTTCCTGTCATCCCATCAGTGGCACTAGAATATTTTATGAATTATCCAGACTTTTCCTTGGTCCCCAGATGTAGTCATATGCCAAGTTTGATGGAGTCATAATTTATAACAAATTTGTTTTTACGTTTTTGTTCTATCCATGATGTACTGTTCTACATTAACTTTAATTTTTTCTAGCTTGGGCTAGTTATAGCCTTCCAAAGTGTCCCAGAATCTCAAACCTATCTCATTTTCACTCCATCTTTTATCCTGCCTCAAGATTAGACACCCTAAAGCACTGTTCTGATCATATGACTCTTGGGGTCTGTATT